ACACTTCTTTTTTTTTAGAAAATGCAAAAAGGTGAAAATACCTGTCTCTTGGGCAGCCGAACATACATGTGCTATCAGGGTATGTAAATGATATGGACGGCATGTGAGACACTCGCACTGATAAAAACCACCACCGATATGCCATGCCAGACACCCGAACAACGCGGCGAGCGAACCGTTGGTATGATATAGGTGGGACCCCTGCCCACATTGCTCAAACATTTGGCTGCTCCAAAGTTGCTGTAACTAACCTAATGCAACGTTACATACATACCGGACAGACACCGGGCAGGCCAAGAACAGACAGACAAACTGTATCAACGCCCAATGAAGACCGGCACTTGGGTACTTTGCGTCTCCCTCATCGATTCCTGACAGTGACGTCATCAACGACGAATGCCTTTGGGTATATTGTTAGTCGACAGACAATGGCCAGGCGACTCATATCTCAAGGAATTACGGCTTACACACCTTACAGTGAACAGATATTGACAGCCGCGGACTGTACGTCATTGACAGCGACGAGACTAGCAGAGGGTCGTCTTCGTTAATGTCTGTTCAGAACTGATTGAAGTCTTGTGTTTTCCGCCAAAGGGGAGAGTGAACGGCGGGATATGGCCTTCAGGAGGTCATGCAGTATGGTGGAGGGGATGTTATGTGGAGAAAATAGTTAGCGGGGAAAACGTCATGGGTAGGAGATTTGACAGCTTACATGGCTGATATTATGTCCTGCCGTTTCTACAACAGGTGCTTTTTGTCAGCATACAGTCCGAACTGTACAGAACGTTCTTGCAAACAAATGGCAACGACTTGCTGTGGTATGCACGTTCCCCGAATATGTTCACTTTATAACACCTCTGGTCGCCAGCGACTACACTGTTCAGCAGAAAGACAAGAACTGACCCAGGACGCCCAAGAAGAATGTCGACGTATTCCACGTAGCGTCGTCAGACGACTGACGTTTATGTGTACCGTAGACGTGTGCCCCTTGTCCATTACGCTGGCAGCTTGTTGTTGCTACCCTGCCCCATGTCGGGCAACTGTCATGCTAATATCAGTTACTACATGACTGGCATCGTAAATATTGTAAGTAAGATTGATCTTTTCAATCCATCCATCTTTTGTGATTTTAAATGTTATGTAGAATAATTTAACAACACAGTAAGCTTTCTTTGGACCGTCAGTATCATTACTAGAGCAGCCCGTACAATAAAAACGGCAATGTTGTTTTGTGTACTGGTTGTTTTTCGGCAGGGAGTAGAAAGAGGGAGTAGAAAGAAAGTTAAACATTATTCCCGGTACGTTGTTCGGACTTACTCCTGCAACGATTGCCCAGGTTCTATATCCAAGGTCACGACCCACAAACCAGGCTATATATATTATACAGGGTCTCGGGGTAAATGGATTCAATCATTTCCGCCACCGTGATTAACCTACAACCTCAACATCTGCACTCATTAAAATAGTGTGAAAAAGAGGTCACGTTATTCAAGCACGGCGTGCATACACTTCTATAGTGTCAAATCCTAGAGTAGTGCTTCTCCGGCACAGTACGCGAGATATACGCAAGTCTGTCCCAGGTGACTGTCTTGTTACTTCATACACTGTCAACCTGTCGGCTTCTAGGTAGTCTGTTTCCGGCGACTGTCATATTACCTCATACAGAGCTAGTATATGTCTGTCAAGGAATGAATTCCCGTTGAGTATTGTTTTACCCCATACGGTGCTAGTATGTCGCCTTCATGGGAATGTGAGATCGCGTGTAAAGATACAACCACTGTACAAGATATCTCCTAGGTGGAAGATTCAGTGGTTGGTATCAAGACCTATCACACAGCTTTCATTAGATGGTAGTGTTAGGGAAGAAGGGGTTCCGTTTCTGTCGATGGTGTTGATAGTGTATGTATGTCAGAACAGCCTGTACATGAATGTACAAGACTGGATGGATGATTGCATTGGGTTAGGCCTCGGTTACACTACACCTACAGATAAACACATCGCTTCACTAATTGCATATTGGGTTGCTGATAATGGCATTGAAACGTTTTCTTGCAGTATATGGTTTCTTTAATATAGAAATAGTGGACGATAATGTCAGTCGAAATGTCACAGTGCGTCGGTGTAATTAAGAGAAAACGCACATACTTAACTGGGTTTGTTGAGACACAGGGGCTGGAGGAGTGAGGCCTGTTGTTATAAACAGCAGTTGGCAGTAGTCAAGCCTTTGCCGGACAGACAAGGAAAGCGAACTAGGACAAAACCCACCTAGTACTTCCATATAAAACATGCTAATCAAAAATGAAACATACATATATTTAAATAAGAAGTTGTCATCCATAAAGTTGTATGTTTCATTTTTGAGTCACCAACTTCTAGAATGCCCATCAAACAATTACATGCTAATCAACTTATCCCACTGGCCTCTGTCATGAAAACATGAAAATTAACTCACTGGGTTCTTGGTGAAAAAGGGTAGCAATAACATATAAAAATAGGATTTTGTCCCAAGGGTAACGGTTCATCCAGTTGTGGAAGGGTAACGGTTCATCCACATGTTAGGGTATCGTGATACTTGTTTAACTATTCATTGAGCCGGTGGGAATTTTGATGATAGCTAAAGTGTATATTTTCTGACACGACTAAAGGGTTACCCTTGCCGTATTCAGATCCCAGTTTTTTCTAAGCCCTTGTTTCTCTCTAAATCTTTGTCAGACGTGCTTCCTTAATAGGGTATGGTAAGGATTAGGTTTAGGGCCGCTGTGTAGAGATGTGTCCCGTGATCACACAAGAAACCTATGATTGTGTGTTCAAATCCCATTTCCCCCCTAATTATGTTTCTCGGTCAGTAGCTTTACCGTGCACCGTAGTTTGATACCTGCATCTCATAAAGGCTGTTAAAGCCTTAAAACACAACTCACTTACTTGCAATTGCCTTAATACACAAGTCAACCGGTACATTTGCAACAAAATATTAATAGTTTGACAAACTGTCATATTTTTAAGATCCGTGTGTGGATAAAAACCTTAATCTATCTCATTGGTTCTGTTGGATGCCTCGAGCTCATTTAGCCACACATGGCTTTAAAAAATCAATAATGCATGTAGGCAAAACATTCGTTCCCTGTTACACAATGCAATATACATATTTATTTTACATTGCTCATTTTGTTGACATACGTTGAAAACAGATTGGTTTATTTTCCGTTTTCCGATAGACGGTAAGCTTCCTGTTTATTCTGTAGCTGTCTAATAATTAGTATCTGTTTTTCATCTGCACTATATCGATTTACCTCGGTTGTTAATAATTTGAATTCCATTACATTGGACTGACGCAGACAGCCTGTGCATTTCCTGGCTATCAGCGGTCCTCGCGTCAGTATTGTCGAAATGAATTTCACCGCTTATCAAAGCACATTATCAAGTCGTCGTTCATGCCTCGGGGGCTGTTTTGTAGGGTATGTTAATGTGTTGCGTTGTTATACGAACACCTGTATGAATATAAGCTATCTAATGAGCAAGATCATTTAAGCAGCATGTATGAATAGAATCATGCTAACAAATTAAATCCGTTTCGGTGCATAGGGTTCATAATAACGTGCTATATAGTGCTATCAGACAGACGTGAAACGTGTTTGCTTATAATGTAAAGAGTAATTTTGAGTGCCCTAGATTGGGTCTAGAGCCGCTTTTGACGCTTATATGACGCAGTCGCTGCTTACTGTTGGATTAAAACCCCAAACTATTTATAATTCATATTTATCAGTTATGATTAACAAGACGTTAACCACTTTAGAGAAACCCACGAACAACCCAAGGGTCGTAATCGTGGCGAAACTTCAAATTCAGCTAATTATCACAGGATCCTTGCACACCTCAGGACGCCTGAAACCATGAACGGGTTCTAATCTATGTTAGCACCATATACGTACAACGCGTGTTTAACAATAAGTGAGCGAGCGAGTGAGTATAGTTTTACGCCGCTTTTAGCAATATTTCAGCAATATCACGGCGGAGAATCGAACCCGGGTCTTCGCGTGACGAGCGAAAGCTTTGACCGCTGCGTTTAACCTAAGTGGTAAACACCTGATACTTGTGCCTATCCTTGCTGTCACCCTGTGCTAAGTCACGATGACATGATAAAACTACAATACAGTTCATACGACTCTCGGGGCGGGGGAATAGCCTAGTGGTTAAAGCGTTCGCTCGTCAGGCCGAGGGCCAGGGTTCAATTCCCCATATGGGTACAATGCGTGAAGCCAGTTTCTGGTGTGCCCCACCGTGATGTTGCTGGAATATTGCTAAAAGCGGCGTGAAGCCAAACTCACTCACGACTCGATGGGCATCTCATTGTTAGCTACCTGAGGAAGTCGACCTGTACCATAAATTGTACATGTAATGTAATGTAACTATGTAATGTGAATGACGGATTGCTTGTTTTTCAATTTGGTACTGTGACGGTTTCTGTTTGTAAATAATAATGCATTGAATATATTTGTTTATAAACTAAAAGTCATTTGGACTTTGTACTTGAAAAAATATCCATGAATACCGACTTGTTCTCGTCACTATATCGCTGGAATAATGCCGATGTGAGCTCAACTCAACTCACGACTCATGCTTGCATTACACATTCGAATAGCTGATGCAGGAGTCGAAATATGCTTGAGAGTGCACTACGGGGCCACTCGAATATGCGTGATGAGCTCATGTCAGGTAAAAGTCATAACGGGAACTGACCATCGACGTCACAGTCCAGTATTGATCGTCAGATGTGGACAAGTGTGACTTCGTTAAATGGAAATAAGAACGGCTTTGTTTTGTGTCGCGGTACTTCAGCATAATATGTTAGGTGTATGTAGACGCCCTGCTCTCATGCCATATAGTTTCACCGTTAATGGATGTATTTCTGTAGTGGGATGAATGCAAGGCATGAATATCAATATCGGTTTATTGTTGAGATAGTTTTTACTGCCACGTACACTTACATATTAATTTTCCAGCAAATGACTGGTATGAGCCCTTTGAAATAACAGGCATTCAGACTGTCAACAGATGTTGTTGAGGTTGTGGCAATAGCGGCTTTACCCGGACGTGAATACTGGCGAGGTGAGTCCAAACTAGCATGGTATGGTATGCATGTATGTCTGTTTGCCACATGTGGTGGATATATATATGTATGTCTGTTTGCCACATGTGGTGGATATATATATGTATGTCTGTTTGGTGGATACATGTATGTCTGTATGCCACATGTGGTGGATATGTGTATGTCTGTTTGTCACACGCGGTCGATACACGTATGTCTGTTTGCCACATGTTGTTGATACATATGTATGTTTGCCACATGCGGTTGATAGATACATGTCTGTTTGCCACATGTGGTGAATACATGTATGTCTGTTTGCCACATGTGGTGGATATATGTATGTCTGTTGCCACATGTGGTGGATATATGTATGTCTGTTTGCCACATGTGGTGGATATATGTATGTCTGTTTGCCACATGTGGTGGATATATGTCTGTATGTCTGTATGTTTGCCACATGCGGTGGTGATATGTATGTCTGTTTGATACATGTCTGTTTGCCACATGCGGTTGTATAGATACATGTCTGTTTGCCACATGTGGTGGATATATGTATGTCTGTTTGCCACATGTGGTGGATATATCTGTCTGTTTGCCACATGTGGTGGATATGTGGTGTATGTCTGTTTGCCACATGTGGTGGATATATGTATGTCTGTTTGCCACATGCATGTGGTGGATATATGTATGTCTGTTTGCCACATGTGGTGATATATGTATGTCTGTTGCCACATGGTGGATATATATATGTCTGTTTGTGCATATGGTGGATACATATGCGTGTTTGCCACATGTGGTGGATATATGTATGTCTGTATGCCACATGTGGTGGATATATGTATGTCTGTTTGCCACATGTGGTGCCACATGTGGTGGATATATGTATGTCTGTTTGCCACATGTGGTGGATATATGTATGTCTCGATTATGCCACATGTGGTGCCACATGCGGTTGATGTATGTCTGTTTGTGGTAGCATGCGCGGTTGATATATGGTGTGATACATGTCTGTTTGCCACATGTGGTGGATATATGTATGTCTGTTTGCCACATGTGGTGGATATATGTATCTGTTTACACATATGTCTGTTTGCCACATGTGGTGGATATATATATGCGTGTTTGCCACATGTGGTGGATATATGTATGTCTGTTTGCCATGTGGTGGATATATGTATGCGTGTTTGCCACATGTGGTGGATATATGTATGCGTGTTTGCCACATGTGGTGGATATATGTATGTCTGTTTGCCACATGTGGTGGATATATGTATGTCTGTTTGCTGTTTGTAGCATGTGGTGGATATATGTATGTCTGTCTGTTTGGTGGATATATGTATACATGTGGTGATATATGTGTCTGTTTGCCACATGTGGTGGATATATGTATGTCTGTTTGCCACATGTGGTGGATATATGTATGTCTGTTTGCCACATGTGGTGGATATATGTATGTCTGTTTGCCACATGTGGTGGATATATGTATGTCTGTTTGCCACATGTGGTGGATATATGTATGTCTGTTTGCCACATGTGGTGGATATATGTATGTCTGTTTGTAGCATGTGGTGGATATATGTATGTATGTTTGTCACACGCGGTCGATACACGTATGTCTGTTTGCCACATGTTGTTGATACATATGTATGTTTGCCACATGCGGTTGATAGATACATGTCTGTTTGCCACATGCGGTTGATAGATACATGTCTGTTTGCCACATGTGGTGAATACATGTATGTCTGTTTGCACGTGTTGTTGATGCATATGTATGTTTGCCATATCTGGTAAAACATGTATCTCAGTTAGCCATACTGGGTAGAAACATCAGTTTGCCTTATGTGGTGTATACATTGTACACCTAAACTATCTGTTTGCCTTACATGGTGTGTATATGGGTACTATCTGTGAGGTATACGTGATAAGAGTGACTTGTGGGGTCAATTCTAGTCGGTACAACTTCTGTGCTATGACCTCCATAGTACGATCAGACACGTTATCTTCCTGTGACCTACAATACTTTATCTGACATGACAGTGTATAAAAACTTTTGGTTACTTGGTGCCTGTATCAGTTGTGAGACAGTTATTATTAGTAGTGTCTGACGTGTATACCTGTCATTTCCCACAAAGTTACCGGGTTAGAAGTGGTCTTCCGCAACCCGTGCTTGTCGTGAGAGGCGAGAGTAGTGGGATCGGGTGGTGGTCAGACTCGCAACCCTGGTTGATTCATGTCATTATATCATCATAGTTAGATGCTCATGATGTCAATCACTGGATTATCTGGTCCAGACTCGATTATCTACAGACCACCGTCATATAGATGGAAAGGTGCTTTAACAAGAAGCAAACAAACCCAAATATAGAAAGGAATGATATCCCGCTCAACTGAGGACGATCCTGCAGTTCATCTCAACCTACAAAATGAGGAATTTCTGTCTGTTTGATGTGGGAAGAAAGCCCGGGGTTTCTAGACTCGGACCTTACTGCTCAACTGAAACTCTCAAGCAAGTTGTCAAACCACGAAATATAATCAGGACGAGACAGGGATTCGAACCCAATATCATATTCCTGACATATCTTACCACGTGCGTCCAACCGTGCCATTCCATGTGTGTATAAACAAGAGATACGTACATCAATGTGTGTATTATACCGACATTACTAAATTCGTGTCAGACCCACGCAAAACTTAACCCTCGTTTCGTGATCAATGTAATGTCAGCTAATGCCCAAGTAAATCTCTTCAATAATTGTGCACGGCCGTTGGTTAATTTTCATTATCAGAATATGAGTCATAGCTGTGCTTTCATTTTGAATTCAGTTTTCATTAGCTGTGTACATCAAGCGTGCAAACTGTTTCCACTGTTGAACTTGCACAAGTTCCAATTAGATTATACCGTCGCTCTCCTATCGATAAACCATCGAAGCAGCGAATGAAGAGAAGTGACACGGGAGCTATTATACACGTATATACTGCTGCCTTCAGAGGATGGATGTCGACATTGACCGCTGAACTTCTCACACTGCCAGTCATTAGCTTATTTCATTATGAAAATGGTCACTCTGGTAAAAGGACTTGACATACAAATCCTACTTGGACACTGTGTGGATACTACATACAGCTCCTCACATCGACGTCGGTGCCAAGTTCCATTAATTCTACAGACTCGGTAGTTGTTTCATATGTCAAAAGCTGCAGTGAGCTTGTGTGCCATTGCCACAAATGCTAATCTCATCAGCGTGAAGCCCTGGCCCTGATCAAAGTATTCGGGTATAGCCTATATATTCTTTACCGTAGTCGACGTATTAACTACACAGGGGGCATAAAGGTTTCACAAGGCTTACTGTTTACCTTTGCTGTGACTACATTATTGTTTAGAACTCCATCATGAAGGGGAGTAAATCTTTACGTGTCATCGTAATAGAAAACCCTTGAAATTTTGTTTTGGAGAAATGTAAGTGGGATACTTTGGAGAAGTGTAAGCGGGGATTTTAGCGCTTAATACGTCTGATACGGTACTTATGTCTTTGGTCAGTCGATGTTAGGAGCTTGACCGTAGGAATAGACTTTGCTTTAAGAGAATGCGATTATTTACCATAATCGAGTGAGGAAGGACAGGGTTAAATTACTGAGTAACGTGATGTATTTACTCTTCCACCCTAAGACGCTGACTTCGTTACAGGGCTAATGCTATTTCGCACTGAATACTGTGAAAGTTCAATAGGAGTTTTTGTATAGTTGGAACCGACACTGATCTCAAACTGAGAACCATTTCGTCTCATCCTGGCCAATAATATCAACGTGTTTCTCTCTACACGCCATTATACGAGTTCTTCCGAACTTGATTATCAGCTGAGACGGATTCCTGGGGTTGTTAAAGGCCGATGGGCAGTATCAGTAGCAGCTGTTTAATTGTACTTTTCCATTAGTTAGGTCTCGCACCTGTCTCTGACTTTAAACAACAAAGGTTATGGCTGAGTTAGTGCCTCATCTTGTACCTGCTACCTATAGCACATCCAATCACTAATCAGAGCTGGATACAATTAATACGATCTAAAATGACTGGAAGAACAAAACGGCTTCAGTGAGAAACAAAACGTCCATTCAGTTGATGAATTACCTAATAAAAGTCCATAGAAATATTGGCGAGCCATCGGTTGGTGTTTTGCAACCCAAATGAAATCTGTCTCGTAGGAAGTAAGATTGATTAACGATCCTGATTGTTTGGTTTAGATTTTACTGTTGATAAAATATTACTGGTCTATTTTGGTTTTAATGATATCTGACAGGCGGAAAACAATTGACCGGAACGTTGGTTTGCTATTTGCGAAGCTGCTCTTATTGGTATAACAAATTTGACGTTCATTTCTTGCTATAACTCGTATAGAACACAACCAGTTGACCGGTGTCTCTGGTTACGACAGACTTACAGTATACACGTACAACAAGCGGGGTGGTTAAGGGGTGTACCTCAGTTGACATATGGGGATATGGAAGGTTTGTCGAGGAAGTGTATGTGGCAAACATCAAGGTTTGATTTAGTAGATGTGACGGACGGACATCAAGAGGTGATTCAGTGAGTGTGTGAATTTAGTTTTACGCCGCTTTTAACAATATTCCAGCAATATCATGGCAGGGGACACCAGAAATGGGCTTCACACATGTACCTATGTGGGGAATCGAACCCGGGCCTTCGGCGTGACGAGCGAACGCTTTAACCACTAGACTACCCCATCGCACACGAGATGATGTAAGGGTATGGCAGACATAACAGTTTAGGTGGGTCTCTGGCGGTTGATAGCGTACAAAGTATCAGAAGCCAGTCGCAATCTCTTTTGGCATGTTCCTACGAACAAATAACTTTAATGAAACTCCCAAAATCGTACTCCCGCGGCGTTTACTACTGGGAACGGTTCCATTAAAGAGAGTAGAGTGGAGGGTTCGTTGTTATTCTAAACAACACTTTTACTTCTGTGATGGAATATGAGAGAATGACAGTTCTACCACAAAGGCCGCTGGGTAAAACAGATGATGAAAATACTGCATAGTGCAGAAAAGGCAACTTCAGATTGTGAACTTGTATGGAGTATGACGTTATTAGTTCACAGAAACGGCAACTTCAGATTGTGAAATGTCGTTATTAGTTCACAGAAAGGGCAACTTCAGATTGTGAACTTGTATGGAGTATGTCGTTATTAGTTCACAGAAAGGGCAACTTCAGATTGTGAACTTGTATGGAGTATGTCGTTATTAGTTCACAGAAAGGGCAACTTCAGATTGTGAACTGGTATGGAGTATGTCGTTATTAGTTCACAGAAAGGGCAACTTCAGATTGTGAACTGGTATGGAGTATGTCGTTATTAGTTCATGGAGTATGTCGTTAACGGCAACTTCAGATTGTGAACTTGTATGGAGTATGTCGTTATTAGTTCACAGAAAGGGCAACTTCAGATTGTGAACTTGTATGGAGTATGTCGTTATTAGTTCACAGAAAGGGCAACTTCAGATTGTGAACTTGTATGGAGTATGGTATGGAGTATGTCGTTATTAGTTCACAGAAAGGGCAACTTCAGATTGTGAACTTGTATGGAGTATGTCGTTATTAGTTCACAGAAAGGGCAACTTCAGATTGTGAACTTGTATGGAGTATGTCGTTATTAGTTCACAGAAAGGGCAACTTCAGATTGTGAACTTGTATGGAGTATGTCGTTATTAGTGAACTTGTATGGAGTATGTCGTTACAGAAAGGGCAACTTCAGATTGTGAACGTTATTAGTTGCAACTTCAGATTGTGAACTTGTATGGAGTATGTCGTTATTAGTTCACAGAAAGGGCAACTTCAGATTGTGAACTTGTATGGAGTATGTCGTTATTAGTTCACAGAAAGGGCAACTTCAGATTGTGAACTTGTATGGAGTATGTCGTTATTAGTTCACAGAAACGGCAACTTCAGATTGTGAACTTGAACTTGTATGGAGTATGTCGTTAGTCATGTCGTTATTAGTTGTGAACTTGTATGGAAATGTCGTTATTAGGGCAGAAAGGGCAACTTCAGATTGTGAACTTGTATGGAGTATGCCGTTATTAGTTCACAGAAAGGGCAACTTCAGATTGTGAACTTGTATGGAGTATGTCGTTATTAGTTCACAGAAAAACTTCAGATTGTGGCAACTTCAGATTGTGAACTGAACTGTATGGAGTATGTCGTTATTAGTTCACAGAAACGGCAACTTCAGATTGTGAACTTGTAACTTGTATGGAGTATGCAGTGCCGTTATTAGTTCACAGAAACTGCAACTTCAGATTGTGAACTTGTATGGAGTATGCCGTTATTAGTTCACAGAAAGGGCAACTTCAGATTGTGAACTTGTATGGAGTATGTCGTTATTAGTTCACAGAAAGGGCAACTTCAGATTGTGAACTGGTATGGAGTATGCCGTTATTAGTTGAAAGTCAGATTGTGAACTTGTATGGAGTATGCCGTTATTAGTTCAGATTGTGAACTTGTATGGAGTATGGTTATTAGTTCACAGAAACAACTTCAGATTGTGAACTTGTATGGAGTATGTCGTTATTAGTTCACTGCGTTATTAGTTCACGGAAACGGCAACTTCAGATTGCGAACTGGTATGGAGTATGTCGTTATTAGTTCACGGGACTAAACTTAAGTTCACTGCGACGCTCAGTCTGTGGTATTACTAGTGACGTAGATAGTCTCTTTCGACGAGTGAGTGAATGACTTTAGTTTTACGCCGCACCCCGCTAATACATTCCCGCTCTATGGCGGCGGTCTGTAACTAATCTTGACCAGACAATCCAGTGATCAACAGCATGAGCATCGACTTACGCAATTGGAATACGATTACATGTGTCAACCAAGTCAGGGAGCCTGACCACCCGATCCCGTCAGTCGGCTCTTACGACAATCATGGTTACTGAAGATTAATTCTAACCCGGGGCTCCACGGGTCCTCTATCGACGAACCGTATATATAGTTTCTGCGGTGTTTGTGACGTGGACACCTATCCATACTTCCATTTCTTGTCTGATTATCATCCTCAGTGGGTTTCACACTCCTTGTGCCGCCAAACTCACCCTCACATCGTTTCAAGGATGATGGTCCAAGTCACTCCGAAGTTGCTTTGAATGGTGGCAGGTTAATGATTTATCAAACTCATAAAGACTGGTTTAACAACACGTAGTTTGTAAAACATCTACAGCAGAAAACAGCTTACACTTCTTTCCAAATGGTGAAAATGCGTGAAGTACGTCCTTGACTCTGAAAGATTTGCGTAAGACAACAAGGTATTTCAAGGTAGCTTTTTCCCACTTGCTTGAAGTTCATTGTCATTGCCTATGACGCATAAAACTTAGATTTGCGATAGTGTTCTACGTTTTGCATATGGTAATATAGAAGAAGCGAGTGAGTGAGTTTAGTTTTACGCTGCTTTAGCAATATTCCAACAAAATCTCGGCTTGGGACACCAGAAATGGGATTCGCGTATTGTACCCATGGGGGTATAGAAGGAAATGTTGCAACAGCCTCAGTTGTCGGTAGTTATTTACTGATCACTTTGGAACTTGGACGAACGAAGGGATGACACTAAGTATCAGTAAGCACTTTCAACACCAACAGCAAATGTACATTGAGAATACTTACACACGCTTCAACAGTTTATTACGTCCATGCCCGTGATAAAGCATCAGAACAGTGCCGCGACATTAACGAGACTAATCACGATGTTAAGGACGTCATTTGTTTGCATGCTCATGTTGAGGGTTCAGCGGGTTATGTTATTTGTGTCTGATCAGCCTCTGCTGAAGAAGCTACTATTCATATCTCTGTATTCGACTCCACATTCGACGTACATAATAGGGATGACTGTTCATTGTCGGTGTGCAATGTCGAGACCCCAGTGAATGCCAGAAAGTGGAATCGATGTAATCACGCAGCAAGACGCCATCCTTCTCTGTAGGTAAGCAGGGTAGAGTTGAGAGGCCGTGGCATCGATCAGCAACGTAAGCTTGCTATCCATATTCATTCCAAATAACTTCACATTGCAGTTCAGGCTGAAGCTCACAGCGACGTGTGTGGGGGACCTGGATTTGTGAACTACAGAGAAGACATCCTGTGAAAGGTAGGTACTCTCGATTAATAACATACGCCTGTAGGCTGTTCTTATCCTTATTGTTTGAGCAAGTGTTTAGCTGCAATTGATTTTGCCTTAGCGGTAATGACACTATGCAGTGTGACAATTATAGTGTTGAGTATCCAGCTCTATTAAAACTGGCCTGATACAGGGTATTAGTTTGGTGATCTTCAACAGTTACACTAATGGAAGTAGTCGTTCACTTTAGGATGGACTTAATTCGTACTGACTCATCACTCTTTAAACGAACGTGCGCTGTTGCTTTGTCCTGATATGTAAGTGTTAACAACTCGTAACTCAAACAAACGTTGGTCTACGTTCCACTCTTAGTGGATTTTAATTACGTATGTTTATATGGAAGGTTTTGACGTCCACGGTCGTAAATACATGTCAACATGTCATGTTAAACTCATACAGCCGGCGGAAGGGCGTTAGGGAAGGTATAAGCTCGACACTATACAACCCACATTTTTATTGCGGCGGCGAACACATTTTCTCTCTCTCCCCTTTTCTCTCTCTAAATCTGTAAATGTCACTTAAGCGAAATTCAGAGGCCTTGCGCCTTGCGTATATTGCACGGAAGACAGTACATGTCAAGGTGATCTTACATTCAGGTGTGATTTAATATCCCTGAAAGGCTTCCATATTATTCATTAAGCCACCGTCTAGCCCTTCCTGTATCTGGAATGAACTTAGTTTTACATTTCTCGCCAACATTAACGAAACCGGAAACCATGCGGTGAATAATTCAAACGTGAAATCAATGTACTGGCTCTCCAGATTCCCCGACAGCCATGTCGAGACAGTACATGTATAGGTGTATTAGACTAGATGAAAGTTGACCGAATATTTCAGTATTCCATATTACCGATTGGCCACACTGCTGTAGACGTCACAAGCTGTCGAGTCGACTCGGCACTGATCAAAGACATCCGATTGTATGTTAATTCGGAATCTTTACGTAAACGTCATTCACGTGAAGCGTAAGTTAATCAAACTGTTACTAAATTGGATCTGGCTCTTCTTTGTGTTTTAATCTGGTAATTGCGGTCGCTGGATTCCCTTTAGCGTTTGGTTTGTTGCCTGTTCATCACAGACATCTCTGATGAGTGTCGCTATTTCCTACATAACAAAGACATACAGACAGTGCCGCTCGCTTGTAGATTTTTTTCCGTCACTCATGCAGATATTCTTTACGGAAACCAGAACGACTAATTCAGTTCTCTCCGACTTCCTTATTAGGAAAAGAGAGCTCGACAAACTTCTAAGGGGAACAAATTAGTAATCTTGTTTAACCCGGTCGGTCGTCCTCGCCTTCGATTTGTAAAGAAGTGAGTATTTGGGCAAGCGAAGTAATATATGACCCTGGAATAGACGGCCTTCGTTTCTCTTTGAAAACTATTTCGAGACACTTGTATTTTACATGAACGATTCTAATCACTAAAATGAATACGAAGAGGACACTGGAACCTGGTTTCCCCTTATAACAGTATTTGTTCTATTACACTGTCTTCGTGCCTTGCGGTGAAGGAACAGCGCGTGTGTATCGACCAGGTTCGTTAATAGCATCCCGTGTAATTTCTCCATTGAAACAGACTATGTCGTATGGCCGTATCTCTTCCGTGAGTCTTTGACAATCGCGTTCATATTTCATCTTTTAGATCATCAATCATAACGTGTTGCAGTATCCTGACTTTGTCTCTGGGGGCGTGTCACAATTTTGTCTTTAATGTAATTAAAGGTACTGTTAGTGGTTGATGTGGTTTCAGGTTATGGTTGTAGTCGATACAGTTTCTTTTAGAGTATGTGGTTTTACATTATGGTTGTAGTCGATACAGTGTCTTATAGAGTATGTGGTTTTAGTTCAAGTGTTCACTCTCGAGTTGATCTATCTAACTTTAAGTATTTGCAGAATGCGTTGAATTAGATGGAATATTTATGACAATTGTGATTGAGTTAAGTCTTACGCCGCTTTTAGCAATATTCCAGCAATATTACAGAGTGAAACCTCATTAAATGGCCTTCACACATTGTACCCATGTGGGAAATCGAACCCGGGTCTTCGGCGTGACGATCGAACATTTTAAGCACTAGGCTATTCCACCACCCCAGGCTATGCCGCCATTTTATCATTATCCCAGGGACAGTGGAGGTAGCCTAGTGGTTAAAGCGTTCGCTCGTCACGCCGAAGACACGGGTTCGATTCCCCATTTTGGTACAATGTGTGAAGCCCATTTCTGGTGTCCCCGCCGTGATATTGCTGGCATATTGCTAAAAGCGGCGTAAAACTAAAACTCACTCACTCATTATCACAGTTATATAACGGACCAGGATGTAAGGATTCTGTTTCATGTGTGGAACTGAACCCTGGTTTTCGGCATGGGGTGTCTACTCCTCTACCATTTCCCCACCCCGCCTGATTCAGATGAACAATCAGCTGCTTTGTTGTGTACAAAGCGTTATCGGGCTCTGACCGTCTCCTGAGCAAAACACAGTGACAATCACCATTGTTTCTGTAGACACTAGGCGCCGTCCAGGAATTAATTTGATTTCTTATCTTTGTTGATTTACCAGTTTTGTAAAATTGTTTTTGTATTGTTTTCTTTATTCGGATGTAACTCATGTTCATGACTGCAGACCTGTTCTCGTCGCTATATGGCTGAAATAATGCCGATGTGACGTAAAGCCCAACTCAACTCAACTATTCCGATGTAACGTGGCCACGTAAGGATCGTGAACTGTTTCCTGTGAGTTCAATAGAGCATGGCTACCCCCTGTCTAGACGACCAAGTCACAGATAAAGATATAATATAGGATGTGATGAGAGCACACGTGATAAATCAACAGACATGAGCATGACAATCGTTATCCTCCACTCTGTAATGTCTAGTCCTACTCCTTATAGACTATCAGCTGGAGTATGCGATAATAAACAATCATTAAATATAGACTTTTTTCGAGAACCGACGAACTCTGAGCTGTATTTTGCGAAATGTCATCAGGAATCTATCTGGAAAATAGGCAACATATACGGAGATGGCTATTTTTCCCCCAGAGCGAATATTCGATTTTGTTGTTACACACATCATGAAATATATCAACTCATATAATCTTTATAAGGAGTATGCTTCGATGTATGAGGACGTTGATTGGTCATGGTTTACCTAGATAAGACAGCAAGACGCACACTAACGTGACCATAAACACCCGGTGTCAGATATGTCGGCCGCGGTTATGGTTATGTGTTCAAACTCACTTTTTGGTTTTTAAATAGTTTGCTGTATATTGATTTAAATATTTTAGGAACAGGTAACTTACATTTCCTAACGAAAGTCCTACTACTTTGGGCAAGTGTCGAAACGGAATGAACTTTCGGGTCAATACGTTCGGTTTATACAGATTCCCTGTGTAGATTACATTATGTACGTTCGGTTTATACAGATTCCCTGTGTAGATTACATTATATACGTTCTTTGACAAACGCGCGTTGTAGGTTCAATATACACTGACATTAAAGGCGCGTTCCCCGCCATGTGAAACTGTTTCATGAACCTGGTGATCTGATTCCACTAACATGATATTTGCTTACTGTAAAGACGACCTGGATGAGGCAAAATTGTCAGTTCACAGACATAATACATAATACATATAAGACCTACTTGCTCTGTCTTGGTGGTTATCCGTGTTTGAAACAAGCAAGGTGTCGTTGTTAGAACGTTGAAGGATGGTTACCCTGGTTGGTGCCTGGTAGTGAGAGAATAAAGCATGGGCTGGTCGATATCGAGTCCTAATACCGTGTCTGGGTGGAATATTCATGTTAATCAGTGGCATGATATCAATCATGGTATGAGTTTATGAGTTAGCACTATAAACCGGCATTCGTTTATACGGGCACGCACGGGCGGATGCACTTACTATATAAATGCAATAAGCTTGAAAAACCTGATTCCGCATAACGTCAACTTAATTAATTCCTGAAAAATTACAGTACAATCGACTTAAGTGACATGCTGAGTTAATGGATTTCGACACCGAGGTGTTACCAGAGTAATCGTGGTGCCTTGGGTTTCTGCAACAACATTCACCTCACTACAACTTCAATGATAACTTCAGTCCATGCAGCTTCCACTGTCCCTACTTCCACTCTCTTTAAACCTACTTCAGGGAGGTCCAGGTTTCCACTCAACTAAATGGTTCTTTCACAAAAACCGAACATATTACCATTAAATCACATCGGAAACAAATGAGGCAGGAAGGAGTGAAGCGAGCATAACGTGAAAAATAATCATTTGTCATTTTCAAATACCATTTTTATGTCATACATTCGTGGACCTGTTGTTTGTTGTTGAAGTATCTGCGCTGGAATTGAATGCCTACACAGATGAATTGATCAATATTATGTTGAAATCACGAGACACGAGGTTGCTAATAAACGCTTATTGTAATCACATCATTGCCACGAAACACTACTGAAACACACGAATATACTGTGATACGTTCGTGTGTGTAATAGAATTTACTCTTCTTTGTGCTTAGTACGTATCTGAGAGGGCTGATTGATAAATGCTAAGCCTAACACATAAAGACTTAACCTGAACATTTGCCAACGATGTTGGAGGGATGTTAGCCCAGTGTCGTGGACGTCCTGTCTGTCCAAAACCTCAAGCTGGTCTGACGTCACGTCGTTGTCGTCGTTCGAGATTCACAAATCATTGCAATCCTTTTAAGGTCATTTTAAAACAACTAGATTATCACCAGATTGATGTGCCTCGTTTCTAATGAGGTGGCGCAATCTTTTGTACCCAGGATGGTTACACTTTATTTATTGCCAAGTTGCTGTGACATTGGAATGCATTCGAGGGAAATGCCGAGTAAACTACCAAACTGGTCGTCATTCAATACTCGTCGGTCATGACCATAGCATGGATTCTCACCAACATTTCTGGTGTTGTAGACGTCACAGGACTTCCGGTCTCTCCTCTGACAGG